GTGTTTCGGTAGACGTCTACAGCCACTAGAGTGTACATATATTTTCAAAGGCACTCTGAATTTTACAATGCGATATACATGTGTGTCTCATGTAAATATTACTACTACTACTACTACTACTACTACTACTACTACTTACAATAATGTATTTATATCGTGCATTTTCTATATACGTGTTCAAATACGATTTACAATTACTCAATATGATAATATTGATGGATAAGAGAGGATACGATACAGCCATTCTCTACCAAATGTTTGAGATTATATTTTGTATTAGATTCTGACCAACAGTATGGTTTGTTTGTCAATTACGTCAGAAAGGTCAATTTAGGTCACATTGGTGACGAAGGCAATTGGATATTACGGTGGTAAAGGTTTTGTATTGAGTATCAAAAGTTTTACTTTTTGACTTTCATGATTTTTTGTAGATTGATTAAATCTGTCCTAATCTGAAATCTAAAGTAAATGTAACGTTTGTTTGGAAAAGGTATCGTAGTCGAGTGGTTTAATCTCTTGACTGGGAATGGAAAAAATCGTTGGTTAGAGCCCGACACGGCAGTTATGTCCTCGAGCAAGACATTTTATCTACATTGCTCCTCTCCACCCATGTGTTAAATGGGTAGCCGGAAGAATAAACGAAGGTCAAATAGCGACCAGTTAGAATGCTACCCAGGGAGTGGAGAATGTGCTCCTTAATGTGCGGAATAGTAATCGAATCCAATGACCTGGGTAATATTAAAGGTAATACAAAGTTTTGGTATGGGGTCATGAATTTGGTTCAAATGAACATATTGGAAGGATATCCGATCCTACAATATCCAGTGATCGTTGTCGCGGTTGAAATCGAGTCTAAAGTTATGAAATTGTAAATAATAAACTCTTCATGTTGTATAGCTTCCTCTCAAGTTCAAGATATTAATTAAGCTATAAAACAATGTTTCTTGACTAAAATTTGACCGATTAGCTATTCCAGTTTTGAAATTATATATCACAACTGCATATTCTGAGATTTCCATGGTCGCAGCTGCCTTTGTACGGCCGTAGGCGCTTTTTGAAATTTATCAAAATTTACCGGGAGCACCGGTAAATTTTTATATTCAATTTTTCTCGAAAGCAGAAGTGTTTTAGGGGCTAAATTTTATTTTGTTTTACATCCACAGGGGCATCGAAATATATCAAATTTGTAAATAATCACTTTCCATCCAATTTTCAAAATTTCCCAAAACTTTGTATTACCTTTAATACTGTAAGCGATTCGGTATGTTATAACTGGTAAAGCGCTTTATAGGGGGAAGCTAACTTTGCAAAATTTTAGCAAAACATTTAAAGAGAACTAAATGATGTAGAATTTTATTGCTATGAGTATATGGAAGCGAGAGAACAAAATGGAATTCATTTACTTTCTTAAAAAAAGACAAAATAAATGAGGTTTTCAAAAAAAAAATTGAGAAAAAGTAACCGTAGTTCGAAGTTTGAAATAGTATTTAGTCTAACGTTTTTGCCTGTTCGTCATGAGACATTGCTGATAATTATGTGTGCGTAATTTATCAAAACAGTTATCATTATTGTGGTTATTTTATTGATTGACATGTCTTACTAAAATAACATTATGTGTCCAATTATAAAGCAAAGGACATTAGTATTTGTTGTCAATGTGTCTAAATGGGTATGCAACAGCTGAACATTATTGCATTGTATATTAGCCCATTATACTGAGAGCACTGCACTCGACTAATAATTATTTCACTCAGCTAAAATACGGCAGTAGTTGATATTTGGTAATGTTGAAAGTATTGTAACAGTAGTAGTTTGATGTAATTATCATTAATGTATTTAATATCATGTGAATTCAACAATGTTTTACAACTGTTTGCATTTCATACACTCAATAAGTAGGGCTACATTTAATCATCAGTATATTACTAAAAAAAAAAATTAAAGTAACGAAATAAGAGAGGAGAAAGAAAAGGAATTACCAAAATGGTTTAAGAGAGTTTGAGACAATAACTTCTAACGTAATGCTTTAATGCCAGATTCAGATGACTAAGTTTTGTTCTATTTCATAACTCAGAAATGTGTTTCTAGTTAGTTATGTGGATTTGGTAATTGAACATTTTATCATTTTGGGTAGAAATTCTGGAGCCAAAGTGTAAAGTGTTTTTTGGGAGTTAGCATTTTTAGTTACACACAAGTTTAAATATAAATGCTGTGTGTCTTAAACAACTTAAACTTTTATGTTGACATTTCAGGAATTTCACCCAAACATGAATGTAAAGGTTAATATGGTAGGTTTGATTGAAACTGAAGAGTTGAAAATGATTGTATGTACAAGAGTCAATTCATTCAACTTTTTTAACATGGTTTAATAAATGTGGAAGATGTAAGAGGTGTAGCGCCACCTCGTGTCGGAGACAGGACGGGATTAATTTATTCAGACTCGGACGATGTATAATATATTGAAATGTCATCGCTATGTTAGGTTTTTAATTAGAAGTGAAATAAACTAAATTGAATTGAATTGAATCTTCTGTATTGCCTCATCTGTATAGCCAGCATAGAGGCTTGTTCGGATATGGCGCGTTGAAGCACCGCAAGATTTAAAGCCGCCATGTAAATGAACGGCGACTGCGGGCCACAAAGGACTTGCGTGTATTCACTAAGCAATTGAAATCGCATTACCTTTTACGTCACTATATATATATATATATATTAAGAAGAAAAATTGAAGAAGGTAACACTAAACGGTAAATTTGGCAGCACGAAATAATAATCAACTGTGAGCCGTTTATCCTCTATCTTGCCTGTGAATTGTGTTGCATGTATGATTTGGTGATCAACTTTAGAATTGGGGACCGGATTGAAATAAGTTTAACGTCACGACTTGACGCTCTGGCGCAATCTTGATCCTTGTCTACTTCAATATATATATATATATATATATCTGATAATTTTGCAAGATATTCGGCCAGCCTAAAATAAATGTATCAATCCTCAATCCTCCCTCCCTCTCACATGGTGCACCCGCAGGCCTACTGTATAAAATAAATGTGTTAAAACTTAGATTTAAAACATATCATACCTTGAATTTAAACCCAGAATATATAATTCATGTACAATTCAAATCTTGGTAAAGCCTCTCTCCTGACGACGGATTGTCAACCTGTTCGAAACGTCGAGCCACTCCCTCCCCCTAGCCTCTCCAACCGGCGTTATAGTTCTCCTTAGAACTATAAGCTAAGAACGATAACCAACAGTCTTTTTCAAGACTACACCTACAGTCCTTTTCAGGACTACACACACTCAAGAGAGAAAGATTATCGAGAGTCCTTCTCAGGACTTCCCAATCATTCCTCTATCTCACATGGTGCAACCGTAAGCCTACTGTATACCTACATCAACATGCAAGCCGATACTTATAATGAGCAAGAATGATATTGGTCGATAATTTTTTAATGAATGACGATCGTCCTTTTTAAAAACAGGAATAATCTTCGCAATTTTAATTTTGCTTGGGAAAATGCCAGTGGACATTGATATATTAAAAAAGTAGACCAACGGTTTTAAAAAGAAGGAAAAAGAGCATTTATTAGAAAGGAAAGGGGGCGTCTGTTAAATAAAGGGGCAGTTATTAGAGATGAAAGGAGTACTTATCAGGAGGGAAAATGGCACTTGTCAAAGTAAAAGGGCACCTCTCATATTTGAATAGGGCAATTATCAAAGGTAAATGGGAACTTGTCGAAGGAACGGGGGACGTGTCGAAACGAAAGGGGCACTTATAAGAGGTGAAAAGGGGAAGGGGCACTTCTACGAAGTAATAGAGGTAATTCTTAAAAATTTATAGGGGCTCTTTTCCTATGTAAAAAGGGGCACTTTTTGGGTACTAGAAAAAGTGGGGGCACTGTGCCCCCTGCTCCCTAGGTAGCACCGCCTCTGCATTTTCCTATATAAACCAAGGAAACCTCGGTCTATAGATAAACAAAAGAAGATTACTATGCCTCCTGGCTCGATGGCGGTGGTGCTCGGTTTAATGGCGTAGGGATATCTACAAAGTTTTGAGTACAACCAGGGTGGGGGTTCTGCACATGATCTGCATTTTTAACTGAGAAAAGACAAGAAACTAACTACCATCACATCACGGTATCAATATGCAATTATGCTCTTCAAACCTCACAATTTGCAGGCCCGGATGAAAGATTTTGTAAAGGGCTATTGTTCGCCACAAGCGCCATAGGCCTACACTCTCATAGACCACTGTTTACAATGAAAATTTGTATGGGGTAGATTTTAACCCACGTTTGAAATTATCTTCTTGAAAGCAATGAAAAAAATAAGGAAAAAATAAAAACAACTTCAACCATCTAATTCGAATCCAGACATTTTGTACAATATCTTGCTGTCAACTATCGATATTTAAGCAAAATAAAAGTACCTGACGAAAAGTGTCCACTTGGTTATACCCAGTAAGTACAATGAGCTGCTTGGTGCACCTGTTTTATTTTCTTATTCTTTTCTACAAATCATCTTTTTGAAAGTTTTTTATATGTAGCCACGAAAGAATAATGCATTAATGAAAAATCGAATCTAATTTGATGACACATAGATGTAACCCCTTTTGGAAAGGATTTCTTCTCTATGTTATTAAAAAAAACTAGCTAGATTAGGGAGATGATGTCGCTCTGAGGACCGTACTGCTGTTTTTAATTCTCTGGGTTTTTTTGGCTTTATTTTATCTAAAATTTTAGTTGAAACAGCCCACCTATACTTGTTCCAAACAAGTATTCCATGTCTAGTTAAATCTCTTTTTGTACTTGGTCTCACGGAGTACTTTGTCCTTTATAGTGATTTCTCTTCATTCCGGAGCAACGTATGTACCAACGTACTAGTGTAATAGTATGTGACATACGCACGCACATCTGTGACGTGGGAATAATGCATATTCATGTCGCCACTAAACTAGTCGCCAATATATGCTACCCCATTTTTGCAACCGAGTGGGCTACTCTTATCGTATCAAATTCTGTTTTGTCTCACCGGTAATTCATCAAAGACACTGGCAGGCTCATATCCCGTATAATTATACGGGTTGATATGCCAACACAATTGGGCTTTAGAACTGGGGTTTTTCAGCGATCGAATAGCATCATGTCTGCTCACGGTAAACAAGGATGGACAGGTATCATGAAGGTGAGAATAACAGGTTTTCTGATTATTTTAGTAAATAACTTGTGGGACAGTATGTATGAGAGGTAATGGCCGGTTTGAAAGTTATAAAAAAAAGGTGCTTTTCCTTATGTTTCACAATGTTAATAGCTACTTTCGAGGGTAGATCGGTCATGTACGAAAAGTTTCATGACATATCCCCTTTGTATATATTTTTTTATTTGTTTTTTTATTGTGTTTATTGTTATTGTCTTTTTTTAATTATTATTCGACAAATGCCTTTTATTGTTTTAGGGATCTCACCGATTTCACCGGATATACCTGTTCACTCATGTAATATAAACAAAGATCGGATGTATAAAAATGTACCGAGTTCATACTTCACCGGTCAGACATAATTAAAGATTCTTATGATAGTAGATCACACATAAACATTGAAAGACGGACAAAACCAGGAACAACAATCAAACAATGTTTTATATTACATGAGTGATACAGGAATCTCCAATAACCCTCTAATATTAATAATAAAGATGGCAGTAGTAGTAGAAGTAGTGGTTGTAATACTAATACTAATGATAACGATAACAATAATAATAATAATGATAATAATGATTGGTCCAGTGGATACGTCACCGAAATTTGAATCGCTTTGTTCTCGGTTCGAGTCCCGCCTCGGTGCTAATGTCCTTTGGCAAGTCATTAATCTACATTGTAATTCTCCACCCATGCAGGTGAAGTAAGTAGGTACCCGGTAGGAAGAAATTACTTGAATGCTTTCGAGCCTGTTTCGGGGCAATCAGGAACAGCCTGGGTAATAATGTGGTATTTTGTATTAAGCGCAGTAGAGTATATAAATCGACATATTATTATTTTTTACAATAATAATTGTCCGGAACAGACAAGGCACATAAAAGCTAGTAGCATCCTTGTGTGTGGGATGTGTGTGTGTGTGTGTGTGCGTGGTTGTTTAATTAGTGCTGTGGGGTGTATGAGCGTGTACTTGTGAGTGTATGTTATTGTGGTGTGTACACGTATGTGAGTATATGGTTTTGCTAGTGGGTTTGTTTGAGTTGTGGATGTCGTGGCTAAGTGATACGATTTAAAAGTGTCTGAATTGTTTTAATTTACAGGCTAACCAGGAAGCTGTAATGAATGGAGATACCGTCTCGAAAGAATTTTCCGAGGGAAAAATATTCAAGATTAACCTGGCTTAACAAAATGAAATGTAACCCTCTCCAACCATCATTTCCATCAACAGCTGTCCATATCAATGCACAGTCCCTCTCTGGAATTCCAAATAGTACGAAATGTTACGTAACGCCATCTGCTTCCCTAAGTTCTCTATTCACTCTTTTGCAAATATATGCAAGCATCGAGCTTTGAAGCCATGCGTGGCACCGAAAAATTAAGTCATGTTCAGTGAAGATGTATTTAGCTATAACATATAAAATACAGAATTAACAGCATAAGACCATTGCAACTTTATATTAGTCATCAAATGCTTTTTCTGTTCTCCGATAGCTCTACTGAATGCATGGCCATTTCAACCAGCGAAATCGACCAAGGAAATCGTGAGTTAGAGCGAATGAAAGGTTTTCATCATCATGATTTTCTCATCTAATTATTGATATTTTCCGAAAATTTCCGAAATTTGTACATAGCTAGGAAAGTAGTCTAAAGGTTTATCTTCCTAAAGAACTAAATGAAATTGTGTTATATGTTTGCGCATTTATTGATTGAGGGCTAGAAGTTGTCAAGTTATCACCACTATTCACCCCAAATACGGGCCCACAAAGCAAAAGCCGCCGTGCTCGCTGGGCTGGGATGTGTGTGGAAAGGGAGGACCTAGTGCTACTAGGGAGCTGTACGGTTTCGGAGGGGGATTAAGGGGATTACGGTAGGGGAAACAAAAGACACGCGGTGCCACGGATGGCTTCAAAGGGGCCTCTTGGACGGGATCTCCATTCATTACAGCTTCCTGGGCTAACTATCTATTTATTTTTACCTGTATTTTCATAATAATGAAATTAATAAACAAGTGAAAGGATTGATAATTTTGTTTTGTAATTCAATCCAAAAGTGGTTACACGGGCCTGCTAATAGTGGCTTATTGTCACGACCATAATACAAATATTTCGATTTCTTTTTAAACTTTGGAGTGCGCATTTTATATTAATTATAATAGAAATAGAGGAAATGTATACGATGGAAAATAGATAAATGCGTTCAATCGAGAAAAACTCAACTTAATTTATCAAAGAAAGTATCGTTTTTGTACGTATTTCGTTTTTCGAGTACAACGTTGACTCTGGATTAAAATCCACAATAAGAAAATGAACATTTTCCAAAAAAATATTCACCGCAATGGAAAGAAAGATTCTTGTCTGCAGGAATTTGGTGAGCCCATCGCCCAGTGTACGTTTTTCCCCCGACCCGAACTTAGCGTGCATAAATTGAGTTTTTTGTTTGTTTTATTGTGATGGATTCTTAAATATATATATATATTTGCAAAGACAGGGTACATAATTTTTTGTTGTACTGAGGCTCATTATTTGTTGTATTTTTGCATCTTTTCGAACTTAATATCTTCCTATGATGTCTTTTTTCCTCAATTACTAGAATAATTATTTACGTCTTGATAAAGTCTTATCATTCATTGCGAAGTGTAATTCATCCTATGTTGGGATGTGACGTAATTCAATAAAGCAAATGGCGGCCTCCGTGATATGCGACTTTTGGCATTTGTATGGGTTTTTTAGTCAATTTGTCAACTTCATACTCATATTGTGGACTCGTCTTATAAAACAACTAAGCTTGTGCATTACTGACATGCACTGTACTTGATTATTAATGAGAGGGACGATGAACTAGACGAGTCTCGTTCATTGTGACTTCACCTGGCTGCAGGGCGTATTTGCTAACTCACTCGCAAACATGAATTATTTGTATACCATGAACAAAACAATATAACAATGCAAATTTAGGCATCATATAAGCAAAAATACAGACAGCGAAAAAAAAAGGGGGAAGTAGATGAATTGTAAAAGAGAGAGAAAATAACAAGATGGGAGAACAGGAGAAATTGAACGGAAAATTAAAGACAGAAGAGGAAAAGAGAGAGGTCTAGATGAGACGGGCGAGAAAAGTAAGAAAGCAGTAAAGAGGGATGAGCGGAAATAGAGGGAGAGGGAAACATGCAAAGAGAATTTTTTTGTACGAAATGAATATTGCAGCTTCACTGACCAACTTCATTTTGGTATAATTCAATAATTCAATGTTTCAATGTTTCATTTTTCTTTCACTAGGCTTACCCTTGGACAATCTGTTTCCTCATCGTAAACATATTAGTTCCTACGACAGGTAAGCTAAAAAAATAATTTTGATTACAAACATTATATAAAAGCCGTTGACAACAAATGAAAATAAGAATATGAACAAACACCCTCATGCATTATTTTTGACGTTTTTTCAGGAGCCACCAAACGTGTGATGGTGTGTGTGTGTGTGTGTGTGGGAAGGGGGTACACTTATTATTTCCTTATACTATTTACAAAAAGTATTGTATGTAGCCACGTTTCACTTCATGTCATTTCAAAAAGATATTATGCTGGTGCGAATACCCACCTCCCACTCCACACACACACACACATACACACACACGCAGCAAACACAAATACATTTTCGTTTGGTGGTCGCCGATTATTTGCCCTATTTATTAGCGTTTGTTCATAATGCTCGGTCTTTCCATTGATATACTAACGCCACGGTTCTTTGGCCCAATATGTCATAATTCACTTCGGCGTACATGCTATTTGACTTTGGAATATTAAAGTCATTTATCATCCTTAAGAGATTAGGGGCAAACTGAAGGATTATAACACAATTATGAAGCAATAATCAATAACCCCGCATGCAGCTCATCATTTAGTATTATTTTCTGTACCCTCGATCCCTCACTTCAGATTTTCATTGTCTACTCTTTGTATTATGACCGTGTTCTTCTATCTTTGTCGTGTTAAGTATTGTCTTGTCCCTTTCTCGTCTCTGTTGGCATCCCCCTTTTTCTTTCCCCTATTTTGTAGTTCCTTTTGTAGTTACAGATTAGATAATTTAATTACTCATTATTCCTAAGTTTCATTTGAGGTGTACACACTTGTACAAGCATTGCTTTTTAGTGGACCCTCTGTTTCCAACATGTATTTCTTAAATTTGTTTTAAATGCTTATAATTGATTTGTAATGTTTTGTTGGAAACATGAATAAATTTGAAATCTTTGAAATCTCTTTGAAATCATCATGTTAATTTTCTGCGTATAGTCTAGGACACCTACCCATTGGAAATCCACCCCCGGATAACCACCCAGAGTTAACTACCCCCAGATGTCACCAAACAATTCCATACAATAATCAGAATTGAACTTCTTATTCATACATTAGATTGTTCTAAAATCTATCGAGTACATTTTACTAAGTTTTGTATTCAACATGAAATAATTAATCAAATTTTTCATTTTACTTGATAGGCAAGATTTGAAAACACAACTTTGTTGAAGTTTAATAGCAGATCCAGAGACAAACCTTTCCTAGATATATATTCCCAGTATAACTTGCACATTTTCTGAAGTTAAGGCTTACACTCATGTCTATTAATATTAGTTTGCATTTTATGTACGTAAGTATTTAGGCTCATAATATTTGTAAGTTTATTGAAGACTTGTATTTTATAACCTCCCTTTTACACGGCATATGGTTGTCTCTCCTGTTATCTCTTGTATATCCGCATGCTTAGTTGTTTTGAAATTGATTTAGCAGTTGGACCAGAAATTGTTCTTTCAAAAACTACATCGCAGATTACTCAATAGGGACTTTTAGATTTGCACGAAGACAATGTGGATTGCTACGGTCGACGTCCTGTTAATGCACTGCCTTAAATGGACGTCACACGTATCAGTCCACGCAAATCTAAAAGTCCCTAGTATCACATATACATGTACATGCCGACCCCCCCCCCCCCCCACCCCACAAGCTGAATACTAAATATATAATAAATGGTTTCCCCGTTCATTGTTCTTCGTATGACGAAATAATAATTGTTAAAATAAATATAGATGGTTCTTTTTACAAAGCTTTTGTACGACTGTTATAATGTCAGCCACAGTGATAGACGTGGATGATGGCACGTTAAAACAATCTAGAGTATAACGACTAATTACTTGTGTCGTGGTCTAGTAGATACGTTACCAGACTGTGGATCACAAGGTCCGCGGTTCGAGTCCCGCCAGTAGTACATGTTTTACATTTGCATAACTCGTACATAGCTCAGTCATTTTGATTTTGATAATGTTTATTAATATTTATTTGATTATTTTTTCAATCGTTTATTCTTCGAATTGTTTAGTCATTTATTCAGATATGTATCAATTGACGTTTACTTCTATATATTTATCAATTCGTTTAATTATTTATTCATCGATGTATTTATTAATCTATTCATTCTCTCATTGATTTCTATCGTAGCGTCATATGACGTACATGACGTTTGTCCTCATGTTTCCATGATGTCATGTCCTGTGATTACTCTGGAGAGCGGCGAGACTGTACAATTGATCCCGAAACCCATGCAACCCGATCTAGACTGGTTAATATCCGACCTCCCAACAGATGTCCCGATTCCTGATGATGTCCGACGTTACTATTGCACCGAACCAGGTAGAATTTACATGCAAAATCCCCGAATTAGGTGGCACGAAAAAAGGGGGAGGCCTCGTATTTCTGAAGGTTCATAACCCGGAAGTTTACTACTTCCGAGAAAAAAAACATCGAATTTCTCCACACCAGGGGGTTCCTAATTCCATGGTTGAAAGAGGGATCATTATTCTGAAGGGTTGTAATTCTCATCTTTATTCAAGAAAATACATATAACGATACATGGTTCTACGTAATTTTCGGAATAACGAGCAATATTTTAATAATAATAATAATAATAATAATAGTACATTATAAAGCGCAGAAACTATCCAACATTAGGTATATATTCTACTGCGCTACAAGAGCTCCTGATATGCTTTTGAATAAACGAACCATCGGAATAACAAACTACCGGAATAACGACATGTTCAGTGGCGGATCCAGGGGGCACAGGGGACTTCCCCCCCCCCCCCCCCTAAAAATGCAATTGGGGTATGTGATCCGTAATAGGCCTACACTTCTCCTTCCTTAATTGGGTCTGCCTCCTCCTTCACGGTTGAAGATTCTTGCAGACTGATGAGTGTGTGTGTGCTTACGAGAGCCAGGTGCACGGTGCAAGTAAAATGTTACTTTTGGTTGAGCTACGTACAGCCTAGGGGACACCAATCGTTTTTGATTTGAGCAAGAACCTTATTTCACTTCTTCCTTACAATCTTAGAATTGATGATGATAATATTAAAATAATTTCTTACCTGAAAACACGGAGATAAGACCGTCCAAACCCCCATTTCTCAGGTCCTCGCGACAACCTCCATTGTTAATTTTGTCGCACGCGTAAACTGCATGGTACTTTGCATGTACTTTATTTGTATGTCGAGCGATCGCTAGCTACGCGCTTCGATATCGTTACGTTGGGTCACGTGACCAGTACTTTAATCAACATTGATTAAACTTTAACCGGAAGGGGGCTATCATTACTGTCGGAATTTTGTTTTTAATCCATGCTGGGTTACAATTTTTGCCAACGACTTAGACTTAACCAACATAGGTTAAAAGGAATAATTTTGATCAACACTGTTTTTAACCAACGCAAGATTAAAAGTAAATTTTAATCAACACTACATTTTTAACAATGGTTGAGCGTTTTTTAATCAACAATTTTTTAACCCACAGTTTTTTAATACTTGTTTTAACAGTGTGTAACAAAGTCGCCGACCGAAAAACCTGCTTTAATTTTCCAAAACACATGACAAATTTACACGTAAAAGGCTGTGAATCCATTTCGGTATAATGTATGATGCATACATTTAATTTACTAAAGTGTATTGTGCTACATACACGTCCATTATGACGAAGCTGTTCTACAGGGGAGGGAGCTTAAGGGCTCAATGATGATGTCAAATCAATCATTCATAACCATACCCATTATTATTACCCATTACAAATTGTGCCTTCTCGGTCCTAGTGTGATTATTCCATTGTGATTATATTGCCAACATGTGTATCTCCAATGACAATTATTTCCATATCCTTTCCTCTCCTAAAGAAAAGTAAAATGAACCAAATGTGGCAGCTATTTGCTCATTTGGACAATTGGGTGTCTGACAATTCTACTTTAGACTGTCTGAAATCGGTACTAAGTGATGATGGTTCTGGTGTCATATTAAAAAAGAGGAAATGAGCTTCCAGTGAAATACAAGCTATAGAAAGATAATTTGGATTGCTTTATTAATTCACAACAAACCTGTGTTTCCTTTTTTAGAGAGATTCTGTTTAAAGCTCAACTCCAGGGGATATGTTAGATCAATTTCTCCCTCATTCAGCGAATGCTAAATCTACAATAATACAACATTTTGATGATGTTTGGGGAGTGCTTTACCTGACTGCTAAGAGAACATGTATATGATTGTAAGTAAACAAGTAGGTGACCCAAACTTACTCGGTGGAAGAAGCACAGTATCAGGTCATTAATCATAATGATGGGCTTCTGATGGGTTGTTATATCTACTCTTTACTCGTTTTCCCTCTCCGTTCTCTTGTTCACTTTTTCCCCTTCTTTTTTCCTCCTTCTTTTTTCTGCCTTTTTACTAAGGGGGCACGTGCCCCATGTGCCACCTTGTTGGTAATCCTCTCAAGCTTTCCATTTTTACAAATGTTATCACATGTCAACCGCGAAAGTAATAGTCCATTGCTTCTATAATAATGATACTGATTTCTTTATTTCTTTTTAATTCCTTTATATGAAATTTGAATAAAAACATGATCAATAAATGACGCACAACTAATCACAGATTTACTGGAAGCTGTGTCGGAAACCCAAATATGGTGGGTCATTTGTCAATTTGAATTAAAATTAAGGCACAGCTCCGGCACTTTTGTTGGTTTAGGTGGAAGGGGGGAAGGGGCATTGGACTTACTCTAAAAACGAAATAAGAACTTACAAGGCTACTGTTTAGGGGGATCTAGTGTTCTAAGCGTATTTGTTTTAATTCCTGTCACCTCCTTTCTATTTCTCTCTTTTCTCGCTTTCTTATTTATTTTCATTTCTTAACCACTGGTTGAGACATAAACCCTCGTGTCCCCTGTTTCCACAAAACTGTTTTTATGAATGTATTATACCTTCTGGTATTCACTTTTATATCAATGTTTTTATTTCTGTCACCAGCATGCCGCTCAAACCCTTGTCTTCATGGAGGCACTTGCGAGGAGACGGAGACAGGATTTACTTGTCTCTGTTTAGATCGCTACCGTGGTGAAAGGTGTGAAGAAAGTAAGTGAGTCATGGGTATAGAGGCAGGTAAAGGATTTGGGATGTATGTACGGGAGGGGAGACCCTTGTCTAACATGGAGATGCTTGTACTTGTGAGGAGAGCAAACATGGCGAGATAAGAAGGCTAGCATGGTTAAACAAGAATAAGGTGCAATGTACTCGTGAGGAAAATTTACCAGCCTCTGGTTTGAAGACCACCATGATATACATCGAGTATACAAAAGGAGAGGTACGGTCAAACCAGTTTAATAGTGGCTCACTCTCTATAAACGTCACCTGTCTATAGTCGCCGTGTAGTTTCTCTCCCTTGAGGAAGAAACGTGTGTTAATATAAAAACCTGCCTAGATAGGCCACCCGTTTACAGTGGCCAGTATTTCCGTGGGTGCCCTCAGTTGAAAGGTTTGACTGTATTTGAAATAATCTACTTGTTTTGTGTGGTATGATAAACACAATCAATGCGTTCGTATGACCATGTAGATCTCCATGTCTGTGCCGTCGTGATCCACCGTGGTTCTGTCATAGGGACTCCAAAAATACGATTTGATAAAGTGCTAAATGAAATTTCATTATAATCCATTTTTAATGCAGTGAAGTATCCCTAGTGTAACGTAATAGTAACACCTCTTTCTTTGATTGTGGGCCTTTCCCTGCGTTTTGTCCAACGTGAAACTCACGTTTAAATTTAATTACATACATGTATTAACATCCCATTATTCATTTTAGCAGTTAGCCCTTCAAATAGAGGATTGGTAGATCACAAATCGTTCATCAACTATTCACTAATTGCATTCACACCAACACAACACGTGTTCTAATACGACTAAGGTTTGAGTACTTAGTGACTATGATGTAAATTTGAGTTGGTAAATTTAGCGCCCTACGCAAACCAATTTGTATATTCAGGTTTGATGGGAGAGCTGAGAAAATAAAATATTTAAGACATTTCACATCGCTGTAAAGTCTCGTTAGAAACTTGTTTTGCCCTGGTCACTAAAAAACTTCCATTGTCTTTCCTTTTCCCCTCAATATATCTGTCTTATTTTGATTGTAAACTATATAGATGTAACCATCCATTCGTTAAAGCTTCTCGGTGAAAAGATAAATGAAGGAACACTTGCTGTAACGTCCCGCTCCAGTCCAAACACGTACGTGCTGGTACATCAAGATCATTGGAACATGAACTTATCCAAATTGGCATGTCAGTATCTAGGGTTTGAAGGTAAGACATTATCCTTATCATCTTAATGGCCCTCCATTTCTGTCTATCATCAGTTTTTTCAGGCTTTGCAAATATGTGAGGCGTTGCATTCCCCTGCTTCTCTTTCCAGTAATCTTCCCTGTTAATGTTATATATTGTTTTCCTACATTATCATTTCCGTATGATAATGTGACCAACAATTGGATTTGCCTCTTTTCTGAACACCTCTTCATTTGTTATCTTTTCTGATCATGATATATTTATAATCTTTCTCAAGAACCAAGTCTCTGTGGCCTTTAGTCTTCTCTAAAGCTCTTTGTTTATTGTCCAACACTCACACCCTTAGAGAAAAACGAATTAGATATAATGACTTAAAGCCCCTCTGCACTACTTGTAGCTTCTTGCTCCCTCTATATAGAAAACAATGCCTAAGCGGTGCCCGTTGGTCCCCAATGATCCTCTTTTTCTTATGTTAATTGAGAGCTGATATGATGAGATCGCCACTTGTCAGTGACCACGCTGGGTGGTCTAATCCTTCCTGGTCAAACTAGTGCAGACGTGCTTTAAAGCTACGGATTTTTGTTTTCATGATAATGTTCTATTTTTTTTATTACGGATTTCATTTGATTGAATGTACCCTTTGCCATTGCAACTCTTTCATTTATCTCATGAATCCTTTTTTCCATCTGATGCTACGATGTACCTAAGGTTTTTTAAAGCGTGGACTTGCTTTACTGTTTCCCTTCATTTTGAGATTTCATGCAAGCGTTTGAGTCTTTTTACAAATATTATCATACACTCTGTTCTCTTGGTTAAGATATAATTATTGTTAACTTATTTTAAGTTATTTATTGATGTATTCCTCTATTTTTAAAGAATCATGAAATACTGGTGTCATGATCAGGAGTATTTGCATTCTGGTCGAGTTGGGGATTTAAATTCCAATTTATAGTTGATTTTCTCCCTCTTCAACCTGAATCCCTCTCTTATTCTTTCCAGTTTTCAAAACTTTTGTTTCGGGAGCCTATCGAAATTGTATTTGGTGTATGTCATCAAAAATCAGTTCTTGTAGTAATCGATGATGTTGACATTTTCTTGTGGTTTGCATTTATTTTCTTCAAAATGGTATTGTAACTAATATGGTATCCTACTTTTTACTTCAATTTTATTGAACAAGGAGTATTTGCGACGCTGAGCGGTCCACTGTACGAGTCCTCGTCCATCGATGCTCCTACTGAAGCCGAATCAGTGAAATGCCCTGCAAACGCCACAAACATCACCGACTGCTGGTACAGTGAGACTAAAGTGGGACGGATAAGCGAGCACGAAATGATTTCCATTGTGTGTTGCCCTGGTGAGTTATGATAATAATGATAATAATAAAGTTAATCATGATAAAAAATAATACTGATAATGCTAAAATTAATAGTAATAATAACTATTCAATTAAAAACGATAAAAACAATGATGATGGTGATTAAGAAGATGGTGATAATAATAATAATAATGGTAATAATGATAATATGCCTCGTCTGAACAGGGTTGACACAGATTAACTTAATCAGTGAAACTTCAACAAAATGAAAATTTGTTTTACCTGTACAGAGAGTCTAACAAAATGGAGAGGTGGTTTGATTAAAAAAATTAATGCTATTCCCTTTTGGTCCTGTAAATTTCAAATAATTCAAGCGAAAAATACTAACTTGCGATAATTTTTGTAATGAAACGCAGCATTATTATTATTATTTCTTAATTGCAACCAAAACCTGATTTGGATTTGAAATAAGAATAAAAATACCAACAGATAACAATGTTAGAAATAATATACGCAAAGTAATAGAAAAATTACTATAGAATGTGAAACATAAATATTTGATTAACAATAAGCAACAACCAAATCATTAAACATTATTGTATAAATAAATCATGAGTTCAATATTTCATAACGATTTTATGGTTGCAAGGAAAGTGCATTGAATAGCATCATCGCGCAATTAGCGCACAACTGGCGCCTGAATGTTTCGTTGCAAGCTCTCAAATTAACATCAATTATTGTTACAAAGGGGATAAGAATCAAAATTAATATAATTTATACACACATCAATGTAACGTTATGTCTTCAGTGTTTGCTGCATGACCTAAATTAAATATAAGAGTTGAATACGAAATACAGTTGTAATGTTTTCTTTAAAACAACGCCTTGTGTTTCCTACAGTAGGCTATATTGTTTGTCACAATGATTGAAATATAAATTGATTTGATTTGATTTGATTTTATTTATTCATCATCAATAACATCAGTGATTAAACATTTGAATACATCGTGAATGGTACATGTTCATAAATGAATATTATAGATCATATTAAAGAAAAACCTAACAAAGTATTGATATGCTAGACATATGTCTTTTCTCATAGAATATAGAAGGTGATGAAAAGGAGCCAAATAATAGCACATGTGCTAGTCGAGTCTGGCCCCTGTTCTTAGCACACACTTGGCAAAAATAAATATATCATTATCAAAAAATAAAACTTGACAGTAGAAGTATACATGTTGAGTAATACCGTAGCACAATGAATAGAAAAAGTACGTAATTCAAAGTTCCCTTCAAAACCTTCTGGAATTAATTTCTTTTGCATCTTGTTCTTAGAAGATGTTTTAAATACAGGTTCATGACATTGTCTAAATGGAAATTTTTGTTACGAAATACAAAAGCTAAAGGTGTGCGCTTGATATAATTATATTGTCATTAATGCTATTTAAATGATCTCTTTGTAAATATTTCAAACATTGTGAATTTTGCAAAAATAATGTTTTCTCTGTATATCATCACGATGGCGGTCTCTTGCGTTCTAATATTTATCTCTTTATTTTAATAAAAATATAGACAAATATCCGTTATAATTGTTTGTATGCTTTGTTATATGGTCATTGTATAACATTATTAGACATGATTTGCTATGTATGTAATACTTATTAAAAATGTATGACCTTGTATTTGTTATTTGAACGCAGAAATAAAATCAATCAAACAATCAAACAAACTAAGATTGTATATCCTTATATTAATTAAGGAGAGGTTAGGGGATACTACAAAACATCACCTACGAAATTTCACCGACGACGGTAAAATATTTTTTAAGATATCATAATCTCTTTGCATTTTTTAACACGGTGTGTACTCACTGTTTTATGACTTTAATGCTATGATGTGAAATATAATTTTTCACTCTCGTGTTTTATTTGCACTTTTATTCCTCTATCATTTTACTCTTTAATATGCTTGTATTATTTCCTGACTTTATTTCCAACAGTGAGCCCGTGTAATGTATCAGGTCAACCACTCGGCCTTGAAAGTGGTGCTCTCCCCGATTCAGCTTTCTCCGAATCATCCTGCTACTCGCCGGCCTTCTGCAGCCGTTTTGGCCGCCTGAACGCTTACACATTTTGGATCGCAAACCCGCCCGACCAATACCAATGGATGCAGGTCCAATTCGAGTCCAGCTATATCGTAACGGCCATAACGACCCAGGGTAGAAGTAACGCTGATCAGTGGGTGACGTCATACACTATTTCTTCTAGTTTTGACAACATGGCTTGGACTGAATATTTGAACGTTTACTCTGGATCAGTTGAGGTAAATGCAGAACTGCGGTTTCCTCAATTACATTTTTAAAGAACCTTAATCGGTGGTCTTTATGTTCAGAAATATACAATGTAACCTCGTAAGAACTCCATGGGAAATCTGATCGCTATACTATAATACAACTTCTTTGTGCCAGGGCTGACAGCAACAAAGATTAACAAACAAAACAAACAAAAATGGTATATATTATTAAGGAATAAAACCGTTTGGATTGTCTTGCTGAAGTAAAAGTTTATGAAACAATGCTTTGATATAATGAGTTCCTACTGTTATTTATATTATTGTTATTAATTTATATATTTTGAAATTAAACAAAATACAATACAACTAAAGAAAGAAAGAGTTTTCCATTTTAACATAGAGGGATTTTAAAAAAGAAAAAGAAAAAAAAACCCTCCATATTCCATTATCAATATCATGAACAAAATTATATACCCCAGCTCTCCTGGAGAGAAAAAATTGAACAATAAGTTTACATAGTGCTGTATCTTAGTTTTAGCTCAAAAACTGGGAACAGTAAAGAGGGAAAAGGAATTTCCTTATTTCGTTTTACATAATATAGGCCTTTGATTACCTAATAAACCAATAAGGATTTTTCAAAATGAATTAATAGAAACAAGAATCACAACTTACGAAAATGACATCTTAGTTGATCGAGTCATGCAGATAGGGAAGTTACGATCACCTCTTCGTTGTTTAAGACATTACTGTTCAGGATACTGAGATATGGACTTGCAGTGAGAAGAAAACAAATGTGAGAAAATCAAACGATTGCCATGATAATCATAACTGGCTCTCCAAAGCCATAATGTGTGTAGTCAGCACTGTATTACTGCACAGGCCGTATAGAGTTATGGACTAACGATGAGCTTCATTAAGAAAGAGTTTTCTTTGCAATATAACTTTAATATGTTTTTTATAGATATTTCCGGGAAATTATGACCGTGATAGCCATGTGACTCACACGCTTGCTAGGCCGATGGTTGGACGCTCTTTCCGGATCAATCCAAAGACCAATCACGGTCACGTTTCTTTGAGGATGGAGCTATATGGATATGGACCTCTAACTGACGCCATAGGTTAGTGCACAGTAAGGCTGTAGAGCTTCCTGGAGAAAGTTTACTCCTTGTAAAAATGACAAAAGTGACCTCTAATTGATGCTATAGGTAAGTGCAGAGTAGGACTGTTAAGAGAAAGTTTACTTCTGGTAAAAATGACAAAAGGGACCTCTAATTGATGCAATAGATAGGTGGAGAGTAGGACTACTACTGAAAGAGAAGGTATATATATATATATACACTGTGGGTCAAAATGGTGGAATAATTATTTGTATCCCAATTTATGGAATGATTTTGACAATGATTTATTCCTAATAGATCTAGATTATAGTATACATTCTCAGATTTTAATGAATAATAATTTGTGAGTGTTTATTTTGCGTGACTGCTAAAGCATGTGTATGCTACTATGCTATTCAACTAGGGGACCTACGTCCTGAAGTCATAACTGACAGTAATGAGGATTAATGCCTCATAAAAGGGCACTAATAAAGCACATCGACACGGTTTTGATCCTGGGGGCTCACAGTAACGAGGCCATTTCTTAGCCACTGAATCATGACTGTACGCAGCGGGGCCGCCCCCAAAAATTCATAAAAACAATGAAAATGCAATAAATTATCAATAATTCATTGCATTTTGCCCCGACCCCTAACATAACAAACTCTTCTATGTGAGCATGCCTTGAACCATAATGCATGGCCCTACAGAGGAATATTCCCTGCGATTATTAATAATCATCCTCTCACACTCAGGCTCAAGCAATACAGGAAAATATTGCAAAATGTGCATGGTGCATGGCAGGTGTTATGAACACGTGAACAATCAACATACCTGTAATTTTATAATCATGCTAATTATTGATTAACTAAGATTAACCATTTCCTAATGACAAATTCCTTTTTTTTTCTCATTTTGTTTTTGTTTATGTTTTGTTTTGTATTCCTTGCTCGTTTGTATTTATTAATACTTCATATGGCTTGTTGACAGGGTAGATTTCCGGATAATATTTAAGGAAAATATATTGAAAGGACAACCTTGCCTTGCAAATTAGTAGGAAATAAAAGAAAGTTAGTTACAATGTCTTTATTCTTCTTTTTTGCAGCGTCGCTGAACCTCGATGCGAAAATTGGTTGCACTCCTCCTGTCCTCGGCGAGGCGCTTGGCGTGGAAGATGGTCGGATACCAGACTCTAGTCTGACCTCGTCATCATTCAGAAGTTCTGGCCGTGAAGCTTACAGAGGAAGGCTGAATGCCATTGCAGGGGGATCCGCCGGTGCATGGGTCCCCGACCTTGACGACAACAATAAGTGGGTCAAGGTAATTTGCTCTAGCTAATGTCTAAATGCGCGTTGAGATGATTTAAATCAAAGTGTACCCATATATCAAGAAATAGTTTGTGTACAGCTAGAATATATACGAATCAACCTTCTCTTCGTGTTCAGCTGCATAGCCCTTTGAAGATTACCAGAAAAAGAACCTGAAAAAGGGTCTACCTGGCTATCTATTGGGTAACTAATTAGAAGTATGCATAAAATAAAGAATAACCTACTGTGATATGATATATTTCATGTGTCTAAATAAAGCTCCGCCATTTTTGCTTAAACACTTTGACCACGCCTTCAACTCACCCGAAGGTCATTAATATTGTTTATTTTTTGATAGGGATAGGGCTTTACTCTCACAGTTAGGAATCAAACTCCCAGAGTCATTACCAGATACTACGAGGAACGTGCTTTTAGTACCCTGGCACACTCACTATGGAATACACTACCTCCTCTCGCAAAATGAGATGCACCCTTCATCAATAATTTTAAGTTAAGCAGTGTAAAAAAGCGTACATATTTTCCTCACTTCTGTAACTATACTGCAATTGAAATTACGTTATAGTTGAGGACTTATTTTACCACGTTATACTTATTTTCTCCAATCCAGTCCAAAAGATATTTGATATAGCGCCTTTTCCTTGTAGTTACAAAGCGCTGCACACACGCTCTACAATGTTAGGGCCACTTAAAAACAAAAGTAAGACATTTCTCTGAGATCAGACAAGTATAAAGTATATGTAGGTTGGTGATAAAGTAACTTCTAGCAGAATAGATGTGACTTGAGTAGTTTCTTGAACTGGTCAACAGATGAGGCCGTCTGCACAGCAGTAGGTAGCTGGTTCCACATTTTTGCAGCAACCGATGGGAAAGAAAATTCACCAGCACGTTTCTTAGAGAGACACTGAGTGAGCCAGATGGATGATGATGAGCGGGGTTTTCGGACTCGAGGACGACGAACCAAGCAGTCAACTATGTACGGGGGACATCGGTGGTTGAGAGACTTGTAGACCAGTAGTAGGATCTTAAAAGATATTCTCTGTCGGAAAGGCAGCCAATGGAGTTCAAGTCGAAGAGGTTGTATGTGAGTCCGAAGACGAACAGAAAAGACAAGCCCTGCCGCTGAGTTTTGGAGTCTCTGAAGGCAATCAAGGTCCCTCTTGCTGAGAACACCGAAGAGACTGTTGCAGTAGTCTAGTCTGGAAAGGACAAGAGCCCTCGCCGCAGCGTGGAATGTTGACTTATTGATAAACCGCCTCACCCTCCACAGGTAACGTAGGTGGTACTTGATACTTCTGCTGAGAAGGTTGACATGAAGGCTTAAGTTCACAGATGGTTCAAGTGTTACTCCCAGATTGCAGATGGACTTACATGGTTGGAAGGATTTCTCACCAATCATCAGTCTGACATCGATCATCAGATGAGATGATCGATGATGTGGTGAAGCAGAGACAAGAGTTCAGTCTTGCCAACGTTGAGTTTGAGCTTGTTCGCATTCATCCAACGCTGAATTTCAGTAATACAACTACTGAGTCTGCCAAGCGCAGCATCAATTGCAACTGGATCAGTTGGGTCAAACATCACATAGATCTGAATGTCGTCTGTATACATGTGAAAGAATACTCCATGAGCCCGAAGAATATCACCAATGGGACGAATGTAAAGGGTGAAAAACAAAAACAAGGGTCCGATGACAGAACCTTGTGGAATTCCATGTGGCAATCTACAAGCTTTCGAAAGCTGACCAGAGATTAGAACATGGCTATTCCGGTCCTCAAGGTAAGAATGGATAAGCTTGAGAGCGAGACCTGTAATACCAAAATGGTCTTCAACACGATTCAGCAGAATCATATGGTCCACTGTGTCAAACGCAGCAGACAAGTCAAGCAGCACCATCATTACTCGTTTCTGACTGGCAATGGCTTGAAGTAAATCCGTTTGAATCTTAAGTAGTGTTGTTTCAGTGCTATGGTGTTCTTTGTATGCCAATTGCACAGGCTCAGCAAGTCCATTACCCTGGATGTGCTCAGTAAATTATCTAAGCATTATTCGCTCGATAATCTTAGACCGAAATGGTATATTGACATAGGGCGATAGCTTCGCAGATCATTTTTATCTAGTGACGCTTTCTTGATGACTGGTGCACTAGCGCTTCTTTGAGATCTGTAGGAAAGACACCACTAGACAGAACCTGGTTCGTAAGGTAAACAAGTTCAGGAAGTACAACTCTCAGATGTTTCTTCAACAGCCATGTTGGTACAGGGTCAAGGGAGCAGGATGAGCGTTAGATGATATTCTCCACTTCACTCTCAGATACTTCAGCAAACTCTTGGAAGTGAAGACCTATCCCCGAATACAGCAAGATGTGAACATTGGATCAGGATCATTTCCATCAAGTTCATTCCGAATCTTCAAGTCTTTGTCAGTGAAGAAGTTGGCGAATCTGTCTGCTACAGGAAGAGCCTTTTCATTGGTGTTCAGTAACCTATTCAGTACTTGGAAGGCAGTCTTTAGAGTACTCTCCTCAAGAGCACAGGTAAAGTATTCACACTTGGCCATGGTGATGCACCTTTTTACATGTAATTTTGCAGCTTTTAAAGCGCTCCAATTCATATCAGTCTTGTTTTTTCCCCACCGACCGCGGCGTTCACGGCGTGAATCCCATATTGTCGACGAGCCTTGACGGTTCAGTTCAGTTCAGTTCAGTTTCAGTTTTATTTTCATATTTCGCATGTTGTATAATACATCATTACATGTGGCATGTTATATTTGTGTACTCATTTTTGGATGCATTTATACAAACAAACAAAATAATACATAAGACTAAATTGTATAAAGGAAGAAATATGATGGAGTCTAAAGAGAAAGCAATGCTTGTAGGTCATAGGCTCCGGAAGTTATAACAATGATATAGTCTTGTTTTTATTAAATAACGTAATTGAATTAAATTGAAACTTATTATGAAGAAAAAATAAACAATTTCAATGAGTTTTAAAGCATAAAAACTATTGATTTGGAGGTGATGTCTGCTATAGTACTGGGGAATTGCATTTTTCCCTCAATTAAAACAAAAAAGCATTTCCACAAACTTGAATGAAAAGACTTTTTCAATGAAATAGTTATATTGTAACTATGATGTATATATACCAGTTATATTTATGTGTTCGTCTTCCTCTCTCTCTCTCTCTCTCTCCCTATCACGCCATTTCTCTCACCTTCTATCTCTCTGTCGCCCTCTCTCCCTCTCTCCATTCTCTCTCTGTCTAGCTCTCTGTCTCTCCCAAGTCTCTCTCCCTCTCCCACCATTTCTCTCTCGTTCAGGGTGACATGGGAGAGAGAGAGAGAGAGAGAGAAAGAGAGAGAGAGAACGAAAAGAATGAGAGAGGGTGACATGAGGAGAGAGAGAGAGAGAAGGAGAGAGAAAGGGCGTGATAGGGATAGAGAGAGAGGAAGACAAACACATAACTGGTATATATACATCATATCATTCAAATCTGACCAGCCCTTTCGATTTGCTCATATTGAAACAACATGTGTTCAAATGGTCATATGTTTTTATATATTGCTTGTCCTTAACATTGTTATCAAATGCAAGATAATCTGCCATTGGATATATCAATATTTTTGTCTTCTTTTCATAATTAAAATCACACAAAGGTCGATCTCGGCGAGGATACTTTGGTAACTGGTGTTATCACACAGGGACGGACCGGAACCAACAAAAGGGTTACGTCATTCCGAATCTCCTACTCAAGAGACAATACAAATTGGACCTTTGCTCTGGAAGAGCAGTGTGGGGTTCGAAAAGTGAGTTTCATTTTCGCGTTCCAGAAATTGCTTATGTCATTTGTTGCAAATATATCATCTTCCTTTTTTATTTATGTTCTTTGTATTACTTATATACTTATGTTTTGTTCAAATTTCTTTGTTGTTTCTGCCTTCAATCATTTTCCCATATCTACATAAATGTACACATCCAAAAGCATATCATTTCCTAGTATTCAAAATTATAGGAAATGTGGTGATAGGGAATTGGTGATGAAATCTCTGTGCCATATTGCACTTCTCACGGAAGAGTTATACCGAGGGATTCGAGGCAAGACATTAATCAACATTTGCCATTCACCACCCAGGTGTAAATGGGTACCTGGAAGTTTCTGGCCTGGGGTTATATAAATTACAGGGCCCTAGGGAATAGCAACAGTGATACTTATGAGGCTTTTCTTTGTTAATAAAACAATTATTTATTATTAGTATTAGTATCATTATTATAATCATTATTAGAACTAAACATTGTCCATTGCTTCGTTCTTTTTCAGACATATGCAGGACCTTTTGATTCTGCCACATATGTGACCATACTGTTTCCTGAGCCAGTAACTGCACGTTACGTCAGGTTTCATCCTGTAACAGCACTAAATATTGTATCTTTGAGATTCGAAGTACTTGGTATCAACACTTGAACCATAACGAGTTATCATTAGATTGATTAATTGTTTTATTTAATCTTTTTATTCAATTATTTATTTACTTATTTATTTATTTATCTTTTTATCTATTTATCTATTTATACATGAATAGTATCCACCTGCAAAGCATGATGTTTAATCAATATCTTTTATGGTGTATAAAGTGAAACAAATATTGAAATCACCCCTGATATTCGTTATCACAAAGTAGGGGTATATACCAATGTCTAAAAAATTATACATGATTTCAGTATAGCGCTATAGTTTTGTTGTCATACGATTACATGATTACAGGTTTGACTTGTCTTACTAAAATAACATTATGTGTCCAATTACAAAGCAAAGGACATTATCATTTGTTTTCAATGTGTCTAAATGTTTATGCAACTGCTGAAAGTTATTGTATTGAATTTATATCAGCTCATTGTACTGAAAGCACTGCACTCGACTAAAAATGATTTCACTCGATCTGTTGAAAATACGGCAGTAGTTGATGATTGGGTATGTTGAAAATATAACAGTAGTAGTTTGATGTAATTTTCATTGACGTATTTAATATGGTGTGAATTCAGCAATATTTTACAACTGTTTGCATTTCATAAACTTAATAAGTAGGGCTACATTTAATCATTAGTATTACTTATTCTTTGTTTTAATTTTTATTTTTTTATTGAGGAAAGAATACTCAATTTAGGTTTTCTGCGAACAACACAAAACCCCAATCTTTGATCTATATTTGTCTTCAAACACATTTGTCTTGAAAATCCTTGCAGATTTTAGTGTTAAATGACATCCTCTTTCATATCATTACACTTTTTCGGCGAATTTGGGGCTCCCAACATGCACTTTAGCGGGGGGTTTAAAAAGAAGGTTCATTGACTTTAAATTTGACTGAATTTGGCATCATTACAATCGTTAATTTACACTGAGTAACAATATCACATTTGTTTGAATTGTAAATTCGAGCGAAAATTATAAAAGTTGATTAAAATTGACGAAAATCAACCTACTCAAGACTCCGAAAGCGATCGTAATACATCTGAAAAGGAGGTGGGTTTGAGTAAGAGAGATATTGAGAGATAGAGAGAGAGAGAGAGAGGAAGAGAGAGAGGGAGAGAGAGAGAGAGAGAGAGAGAGTGAGGAGAGCAAAGAAGAAATAACGAAAGATGGAAAGAGAATACGAAGAGTGAGAATAAGTTGAGGAACCGATTTTTATTTATCTATTTATAAAGAAAATACAAAAAATCTCTTTTTTACATGAACTAAATGGCACATAATAACCTGGTATCAACGTGGCCAACCTATATCTACATGAAGCCTAGTGAAATATGTCTTTTCTTGTTTGCCCCCTAATATTTAAACGTTGTTATTTTCCATTTCTGATCCTGTATTGTATTTTGCCGTTTGTAGTTTGAAAAACAATTTGTACCATACATTTGTTTGGATCTACAGTATGTATTATTTCATTTGGCCAACATATATTTGTGATGGACAGGAAGATATTGAGAGGGAAAGAAAAAAAAAGTGCAATGATAACCTTGAGTCCTGGGTCAACGCTACCGTTGTTGATTTCTCCACCTTCTGGATTTCCATCGATGATATCATAACCAACGCCGAGAATATTCTGAACGCCGGGTGGGGATGTCAAAGATGTCTTCATCTCGTCCTCAACGACTTCGACCTCATTGGCGGTGTCATGATCGTTTTCAAAATTTGGGTCAACATCATCGACGAGGGATGTGTGGCCACCATGGAGTACCGTATAGCAACATCTCTATTCTCTGTAAAAACAAAGAAATATTTTATTTAAGAAAGAATAAAAACATTGTCAAACGACTTTAGCGACCACCTGTCTATAAAGACTGAAATATTTGTTTTCCTTGAACAATTTCTCACTAAACCATGCAATTTAAGGAACCTCAAAAAAGACCATCTCCTATAAATACATCTGTTTTCGTTATCTCTTATTTCTTCCATTATTGAAGTTTGCGAATTCGGTAAGAGTAAAAAAAAAAATGACCGAGGAGAAATTATGGCCAGAGCATGATCGTGGCTTTACACCGCAAAAAAGAAATTTCTTTGTCCAGAATATCAGACACAATATCGTCACTTTGAAACGTCTACAGCGCTGAAATTGAGAAATGTTAATGAACTACAGAGGTATATGAAAGGGGAAAAATGAAACCTGGCTACTTGCCATTCTCCGAATGTGAATTTTGAAAAAATATCTTCTCTCTCTTAAGTTTAGGAATGGTATAATGATTGAGTATGTTGATCACATGTAAGATACAGCATATGGGCAGGCATAGGGATGGGGTGTGAAGGGTGTAAGCACGCCCTCTTTTTTTTAAACCAGGCCCACTGAATATCACGATAGGCGAAAGTAATCATCATCCAAACAAACATCCCATTTTACGCCTCAGGATATTAAGAACTATTTTCTCTTCAAATTCAATGCAAATAGTTGATTCGATTTTATTGAATACACCTCCTTTGTTAAAAAATTCCTCTCCCTAGTCTTCAAAGGGCAATATACACATCCAAGTGTTCCTTCGTTTTCTTTCATGCACATCTTTTGAATATTATGTTTGATTTCGATGGTTGCAAACTGGTAAAGTTCAGATGGATGCGAATAATGTGATTAATCACGTGATTCCACGCAAATGGGGCACCTCGGTTTAGTGGTTTATTTATCTTGACCCTGGATCAAAAGGTCATGGGTTTGAATCTCGACTTAGTCTTAGCCTTAGAAAAACCGTCTATCGTTAGTTGTTGCAACTCATGGAAGTGTAAAATGGGTAGGCCTAGCTACCTGGCAGCATTTCCCTGAAATGCACCGTTTGGTGATAATGGCTACCGGGGCTACGTGAAAGAGCTGTAATTCAATTTCCTACCTATTTTGAAAGCAGATACATCAAGAGGCGACATGCACTACTAGTATACGAAATATTTCATTATGAGTGGTATGGAACATTAAACATCGAAAAATCATGGGCATATCATCAGCATCCCAATAATGAAATAATACTATAGCAACGGCCTATAGCTCGATAACTTAGAATTTTTGCTGGTCAACTGTGATCCATTATACAGTCATCTTAAGTTGACGTGTGTGACATAACTTCACACTTAAGCGGGTATTGTGCAGGTAACCCGAGACCACTTTTAGTTTGAAATACCCGCCGATGAGAATATCATGCAAAACCTTTGCTACAGCCACAGATCTAGAGGCACTCAACAAGAAGAATCGTCTTCTTGTAGCTTCTAGCTTTCAAGCGCTTTCATTTATTTATTTGTGGAGAAATTGCTAAGATTTACAGTCGACCATACCACATAGCATCCTCACCAGCAACATTAGTAACATCAACACCACTATATCAACGAGTTTGAACTCAATTTGTTTTTCATCTTAAAAAGGAAGGAATGGTTATCACTTCAATACATGTATTCGTATCCTACGGAGACATAATTATAGAGGAGGGGTTACTCGGTTGAGAATAAAATGTACACTTGTGTGATAATTGTTGCGACTTTTCCAATGGTTACAAAACGCTTTTCGAGTGTAAATCAATGTGTACACTAGTATCACTTTCAACCTATCGAGGTTTCGAGGTTTAGAAATATATTAGAATAAAATGATGCGTTTACCGTACCCACCGCCCATGGGCATGGGTAGTCAGCGAAATATGACCTATATGTCGTCGTGTGGTTATCGTCCAGCCGACTGCGACTACGTTCACGACTTCTATATTGTCGCCTTACCCTTACTCGTCATCATCATCGTGATCGGGTTCGTGACCAATCTCCTTGTTCTTTACATCATAGTGGCTTATAAGGTAGGATATACTATCAGCATTACTTCTATGGCTGTATGATTGAGAATTATTGATGTCGAGTGGATCAGGATTGTGTCTGGTCAACACTGATCTTAGACAGCAAAGCTCGGCCGGACAACTATACCTACAGACAATCATTTGGTTAAGCTTTATTCCTTTTGTCTTTCGAGACGGACAGATGCCGAATGAATATTCATTTGAACAGTTATTTCATAGAATGGCCACGATTAGCGATGTTGCTGTTGCTGTTATGGTTAATGATGATGATGATGATGATGAAGATGATAAAGATGATGAAGGTGATGAAGGTGATGAAGATGATGATGAAGATAATGATGATGATTATGATAATAATTATGATGATTATGATACTGATGATGAAGGTGATGGCGACGACACTGATGATGATATTAATGATGAGGAGGAGGAGTCATAATCGGTATCGATAACGTCGATGCTAAAGATCGCTGTTCTTTTTATTCGTATTGGTAGACAATGAGAACGGTTCCCAACTGCTATGCGGCCAATATCTGCATCACGGACATCATCTTCCTCATCATGGCATCAATAACCGACGTCGCTGAATACGCTCGTGGTGTCTCAGGGATGGCAAAGTCCGTGATACCACGTTCAGTGAGCGTCTACTTCCATCTGGTAAATACACAGGTGCTCCGCCATTAGATCATGTGGAACTCCTCCAAACTTGATTGCATCAAAGATATAGGTTAGGTTTAGGATTTGGGTTCGGTAAAGTCTTTGGTCTAGAACTGAAGTTAGGAATTCGGTCAGAGTAGAAAACCGTTTAGCAGGGTGCATTGGGTTAATGACCTTGATGTTTCCATATAAGCAAGGTATAAAACATTGTGAAAGTATGCACACGTACACACAATGAAGCAACATAAACTGGACCGATTTTAGAACACACTGAAACAATCATCAGGTATTGATACGGCAATTACAGCAACTGAACACAATGAATAGCTCGTTTAAGGCGCTTTCTTCTGATTTTATAGTCTGTTACCCAAGTTTAATATTTGATTCTACTATACTTTGAAACATACTTTTCTCTTCTTAGTGTAAGACGTCAATTCCTTTTCCGTATATTTAGAGACGATCTTACGATATAGTACCAGAACGTGTAAAATTATGTATTGCCATTTTTGTAATGCATCACTCTGTGAAATATGCCATATTGTAACATGTTAATATCTGCTCTAGTCTGTACCACGCTACTGCATCCATACACCTTGAATCAGATCTAAACATTTTGTTTAAATCAAAATACCCTCACGACATATTCGTTTGTTTACAAGGAATTTCTCTCTTTAAGGTGAATACCAGGCTTTGAATAAAGTACTGGCACCCAAATTAAAATATAAAAATGTATATCAACATGTTTTGACAAAGATGTCTTCCAGTTTCTGTAAATGGGTGACAATTTACTTTCAATTCCTCTCATGTGCTGGTGACCCGACAATTGATCCGTGCTTACGTTCAACAAAGGTTAGGGTTGATGCATTAGGGTTTTAGATTATGTTTGAACTTAGGAATTCGGTGAGCATAGACAAATGACGTGGATCAAGTGACGTACAGTCCATATGCCTAAGATGATTGTTTGAGGATCTTCTTTTTTACCTAACTGCTAAAAAAGCATATATATATATTGTTCCTTTTGAAGATGGTGAGATCCTTTCTCCCCAAATTCTTTTACAGGTGCTAACCAATGCAACATGTGCGATGCTTTGTGCCTTAGCCTTTGATCGATATCTAGCTATCGTTCATCCATTTAGGTTTAAACGATTCCGGACCGTCAAGTTTGCTTTCATCGTCGGAGTCGTAGCGTGGTTCGGTAAGTGTGCAATATTCATAGACATCACAGACGCGAAGGAAAGTGTCCACTGTTTATTTTTTTTTTTTTTTTTAATTATTAATAAAAAAAAAAATTAATTGTTATTTTGTGGTTGTTACAATTACAACTTGCTCCGTATTTCTAGCTAACATCGTGTTTTTAATCCGTATGAAGTGAAGAAGCAGAAAGAAAAGGAGAGGAAAAGGAACTTCAAGAAATAAGAGAAAGAAAAATGAGAAGGAGAAGAAAAGTGGAAAGGAAAGTGAAAAGCAGATGATAAG